GAAACACTGTCGCTCTTATATTTATCTTTCATTTTACATAAAACTTCGGATTGGCTACTGACCCATCCCCTTTGTTGGAAAGAAGCATGTTTATGCAATTCATTCCAATCGTCTTTATCTTTTCGGCCGTTGTCATGTAGAGAAATGCCTGTAGATAGTCATCCGTATAAAAATTGCTTTCCGTCGCGGAAGCTGCTTCGGATAGAGATGTGCGTTCACTCACAGTCACAGACTACCAGCGTAAAATAGCAGCTTAAGGCTGCTGTGTTTCGTATGGTGAGTGTAGAGAACCGGAGACACTTTTTACTGAAAACGAGGCATTCCATCTTAGACCTCACGGGTGACAACGCATCTGCATTTTGATTCGTAATCGAGGATAGATCTAGATGTCTATGAGCCACACCAACCACTTACCATCGCAGTCCCACAGGTGGTGTTTAGTCGGCACTTCTTCAAAGTGAGTCCCACATAACCACGCGGCCGACTGCCGTGGTATGCTATGAGCATTCAACACCTCCCTCCCCCGCTACCGGACCTTCTGCTTCTCTCTGTTCATTATGAAACATTATTTGTTTACATATGCTATTCTTATCTAGCCATAATGAATCTTATCTCTAATCTATCACAAGAGCAAAATATATTTTCATCTAAAATAAGTATATAATTGAATATAAGACTTTTATTCGTATTCCATAGCCGATGCTATGTAACACATGACTAAATTCATCTATAAACACACTCTCGACCGGCGAATCGAACCCCGAACTTTCGTTCGACATTATGTTGAATCTATTTACTTTTAACATAGATTATCTCCTTATTCGGAACGCCTTATATAATTTAAAAGCAATAACTTCAAAACACGAAATTATTTATTTTTTATGAAATGAAAATTTAGTTTCGCCAACACATACAAACAGTTGTTCCGTGCGGGATTCGAACCCGCAATCTTGCAACACCGCAGCCTAGCGCCTAGTCACTGTGGTACCATACTGTTTATTAGATATATTTTATTATAAATTCCGCGATGGCGTTACAAATCCAAGCACGCTGTTTAACATGTTTAGATTATTTACGAAGAGTTTTGAAACACATTGACATATCAGATTACAAACTAGTAACAATGAATGACCCGTTTCAGAACATCTAATTTTCTATGTAGTACTAAGAATAAAATGACTGTGTATATACGAGTAGGTTCCACTTCTAGAGACAGGTCTCTCATTTCTTGGAAGATTAAAGAACGTTAGTCTGCCGTGCCGCTCCAGTACGAGTGAGCGGACTTCAAATGTTGTAGAAATATATTTTTTTCTTTTAAAAACAAAACGTTACACACTCTGATTTTCCCCTGTATTGTAGAGGCAGTTTACTTACATACATAAATTTCACAAGAACAAAAATCCAAACCCGGCACAATTATTTGTAGACCGTACAAATACTTGTACTGTACGGGATTCGAACCCGCGGCCCTAAGCAATGCAACTCATTGCTAAGCCACTACGCCACAGATATTTTCCTCAATATAATTTCCCTTCACCGCTGAGAACGTGGCAAATCAGCACGTAAAATTTATATTAACAATTACTTTGGTGCCGGTTGGAATCGAACCGTAGAAATAGCGTACTTTGTGTAAAACAATAATTTAAAATTAATAAAATTTTCGTACAACCGACTTCAATATAAATGATTAAGAATAACTCAAACACTATTGGTCACACCTTGATCAATTTTTATATGGGATTAAAAATTTATATGGGACCACGTGTGAAGCACCAGTTTTCAAATAAAAAAGAATCATCGAAATCGGTTCACCCAGTCAAAGGTTATGAGGTAACACATAAAAAAACATACAGTCAAATTAAGTACCGTCTCCTTTTTGTAGTCGGTAGAAAATTCAAAAGTAGGTTCGATTATCATTTATTTGTTTACAATAGCAACAACCTCTGATTAAAGATTGTTATGTTTTAATCGTTTTATAAAACTGAAGTGACAAGCAAACTTACAGTTCACCTAGTACCATCGTTCTGAAACAAAGATGGCTACAGATACGTCATATTTCTATTTTTTATAAAGTAAGCGTGACAAACGAGCACACAGTCCACCTAATGTCAAATGGATGCTACGGCCCATAAACATCTACATTTCTATCATTGATTAAAAATCAAAATGCAGATGCGTTGTCACTCCTGAGGATAAAGATGGAATGCCTTGTATCCGTAAAAAGAGTCTCCGGTTCTCTACACGTTTTTATACGTGGTAGAGTCACGCTGCAGCTTTATTATGGTTGTAGCACGAATGGATCGGCTCGACCGGGGAACACACGCTCTCACAGAATACCAGCATAAAATAGCAGCTTAATGCTACTGTTGCATATGATAAGTGTAGAGAACCGGAGACATTAATGAGACATCTATGAGCCACAGCGTCCACTTACTATCAGGTGAACTGTGGGACTGTTTGCCACTTTATTATATAAAAAAAAAAACATGACCTCCGTCTAATACTTATCAATATAAAAATATTAAGTGAAATTATTGTCTTATTGAGTGCGTTTATAGTGTAGTGGTGGTGTAAAAATATTCGCTAACCCATATCGTTCCGCGGGTGTAAGAGGTGATAGAGGAAAACTGAAACAGGAGATGGGCAGCAGCATCTTTCTGATAACAACTCGATTGCCAACCCGCCTGCCGCGTGGCAACTTTGATAAAATCATATGTAGCAAACAAATATGGCCGGCAACGCACCTGCGATTCGCCTGGTGTCGCAAATGTTCATGGGCGGCGGTGATCACTTGCCATTAGGTGAATCGCATGATCGTTTGCCTCCTCTTCCATAAAAAAAAAAACAGTGTATTTACTAGTTTCTTAGCTGTTATTCTTAGTATTGCTTATTTCCCTCAATAATCATAAAATACGAAACGTAAAATTTTTGAATTTCATGGAGCAGTTTACGTTATTCTTTTAAAACGAGTGAGTATGAATGACATTGAATATAAAGTAGTATAATGAGCGTAAAATGAATGTATCTTTAAACATAATATTACAACCTACAGCCTAGATAGGAGCAGGATAAAGTCAGATGGACTATATTATTATGTCCTCGTCTCAAAGTATTTGCCAGACACTTTTAGAGCAGGCATCGTTGTACCTAGAATGATTTCTTATTTTTTATTGAACATGCGAGTTATTTCTATTTATCGCTAAGCATGTGTAAAGTCAGTCTCGTTGTTTTAGTGGTTGCCAGCGAAACTGCTCATCGTATGGTCAGGGTTGAGTCAAAATCAATTATTGGTTTTTCAGTCAAGAAATTCTCGGTAGCAGCCCAAGGTGGAGAAATTGACGGTGTTTCATTCCCGTGCCTCGGAAAGCACGTAAAGCCGTTGGTCCTGCGCCTAATCTCTCTACGGTCGTGTCGGATTGCTGTCCCATCGAACTATAAGAGGGGGGGAATAGAGAGCTTGTGCTTGAGCTATGGCTATTACGATTAACAATTTCAGTGGTGTCGGTAGCGAAAGTCTCCTTGGTCATAGTGTGCACTGCAAAACGTGCTAAATCAATTTCACCATTTGACTGCATGTGTAGCTTACTTTGAGTAGTGACACAGATTAAATAATGTTACTACGTTAGTGGTGGACGGGAATATTAGTTATATAGCATTACTGGTATTATTTTTAAATAAATATTATAAAATTGTTTTCCTTCTTTCGTATTCATACTATTTACGCTCAATAAAACATAATTGATATAATCACACTAATAGTCTCTGCCTCCTCGTGTCCCAACAAACGGGCGAACTAAAAAGAAATCTAACGTCGAATTTACTAAAAGCTGCTTACCCGAAAATAAAACAATATAAGCAATGAAAATTAAATATTTATCATCTTCTTCATCACATCATAACTGTAGGCAGGATTTACTATAACCGTCATGCATGACGAATTGACGATCGCAGCACCAGACGTCTTGCACCTTTGACGCCATCGGTCTGGATATTTTGCGCCTATTTTTTTATAGGAGAGAGGGCAAACGAGCATGCGGCTCACCTGATGGTAAGTGACTAACGCCGCACATGAACAACTGCTACACCAGGAAAACCAGGGGAATCGTAGATGCGTTGCCGGCCTTTTAAAAAGGAGTAGGCTCTTTTCATGAAGGTCCCTAAGTCGTATCAGTCCGTAGAAACCGCTGGTGGTAATAGATTCCACAAGCATGCTGTTCGAGGAAGAAAACATCTAAATATCCTAGCGTAAAGAGATCTATACACTGCCATCTATATGAAGCTATAAGATCTTTCTGACCTTTCGCATATTCAGTTACTTCCTTCGACATCCATGGTATGAAATAGAGTGATGGATTCTCTAACATCGCGATCACGCGGTATGTATGAATCCGTAGTAGCTCAGGGGTTGTACGGTCGCAGTAAATTTCACAGTACACAAGGAACCGAATTCGATCCCCACTGTTTTAAGTACTAATTTACCACGTGCTCGGCGATGAGGGAAAACATCGTGGAGAATTGCATGTCTAAGAAATTAAAAATATTGCTAAATAATATAGCTACCATGGTAGCGCGACGAATATTTCTCTCTCTCAGGAATTTTAGAACGCCTGTTCCACTGTTTTAAGTTATAACTTACCTACTCTACATTAAAAATTATATTTTTACTTAATATTACTTATTGCTAATTAAAGATAATCTTATAAATTAATTTCATACTAAGACTAGTGTGAAATTAATTTATTAGATTATCTAAGTGTCAAACAGACATTTTACACTATTGCATTTTTATTATTTCAACAGAATGTTAATAATATGTCATGAAACGATGTAAAAAAAACTTGTGTATTAAATTGAAACAAAACATTTTCGTCTGTCACCATGAAGAACAATTGAAATGAAATTTTACACGTAACTTATTGACAAGTGTTTTTATAACCGTAAAGCGTAACAAACACTCGCATATGAGGTTAAGTTACAAGGCGAATGATTTATTTTTCAGTATGAGTTGGATCGCAGCTGGACGAGGAGGCGGAGACGACATTTCACCGTTTTTTCCTGCTAGCTCCGGCCTATCAGTGCGCCTACGATACCTTTTTCTGGTCGCTACCATTTTTGGAGGGAGTTTCATCATTATATCACTAAGTAATTACACAAATATCTTATTCCTTGAAAATGAGGTGCAGCTTGGAATTTCTGGGTCATCCATGGACATTCATCAAAACTTGGAAACATACAACGATAGATTTACAATCAGAACTAAAGGCTGCAGTATACCAGCTCTCCACCCCTACGATGAAAGTATCAAAAGATTTGTGGAATTTCCCCGTGGAATGAAACAATGCCCCAATACCAATAAATCGTTACTAAATAACAACAGAACTCATATTTGGGTATTACATGAAAATAAGAAACATCATAACATAAGCGATGAGCGCATTTTTTCTTGCTGCTATAGAGCATTTAGTAGACCGTCAGCTATTAAAGATATCGAATCATCTGGAATAGACAACCGAGTGCAATATAAAGATTGTGTGTATTTTGATAATTACATTAAAGCAACCGATGAATTTGTTAGAGTTTCGTGTCATTTTGATCGAATCGAGGTCTATCAACAATTCTTTTTATTTGCGCCGCCTAAGAAATTCATGTCACATGGTACTAATGAATGGGCTGGCGACAAGCAAGCATACAACGTTCTTATAATGGGAATAGATGCAGTTTCCAGATTGAATTTTCACAGAACAATGCCGAAAACATTAAAATTTTTTAAAAATAGAGGAGCTGTGGAATTACTAGGCTATAATAAAGTGGGTGATAACACGTTTCCAAACCTTATGCCATTACTACTGGGATACAAAGATAGTGAACTAAAGACAACATGTTTTCCTTATGAACAGTCCACATTCGATAACTGTCCATTTGTTTGGGAGTGGTTTAAACAAGCTGGATACTATACGGCTCTTGGCGAAGATTCCTCAAGCCTAGGAAGCTTTAACTACTTTAAGAAAGGTTTTAGCCACACTCCAACTGATTATTACATTCACACCTTTATAAACGAAGCTGAAAAAAATACTGGAAAAATCAAAGACTTCAATTCATATCTTTGCATGAATGAGAAATACTTCTTTCAAGTGTTATTGGACTACATAGAAAATCTTACACTAACTCTAAAATCTTCGAAATTATTTGCCTTTTTTTGGGAAATAACCATGAGCCACGATTATCTTAATTATCCAATGGTGATGGATACAAGTTACGAGTTGCTTCTTAACAAGCTTGAGGCATCAAAGTATTTGCATGAAACAATTCTTGTACTTTTAAGTGATCACGGTATTAGATGGGGTAATATAAGGTCCACAAAACAGGGACGATTAGAGGAAAGACTGCCCTTCGTCTACATTTTAACACCGCATTCGTTTCGAGAAAAATACAGTGCGGCGTACAGTAACTTAAAGTTAAACAGCCGTCGACTTACAACACCGTTTGATTTACATGAGACCTTAAACGATCTTGTCGATTTGAAAAACATCGAGAATGAAAATATAATATTTCGAGGTGACAATACATACGCAACTAAAAGAGGCATCAGTTTATTTATGCCCGTCCCGGATAACAGAACTTGCGAAATGGCGGGAATTGACGATCATTGGTGTACATGCCACCGGGGAAAAAAATTGTCAACTGATAGTAGTGACGCATTAGAAGCTGCTGCGCATTTAGTACGCCAGTTAAATTTATTGCTTCATGTACATATACAATGTGCTCAACTATCGCTCGCCGAACTCATGGACATAACGGAAATGGAAGTGGGAACGCCCAGTGAAAAAGAAATAGGTTGGCGTGAATTCATGGTGACGGTGCGCACTTTACCTGGCAATGGTATCTTTGAGGCAACACTCCGTCAAACCGGCGCTGATTGGAAGCTCGCCGGTACTATTAGCAGACTTAACCTTTATGGTAATCAAAGCCGTTGCATACATAACTATCAACTCAAGTTATATTGTTATTGTAAATAAACGTCGCTTAGGTTTTTTTATGTACTTACACTATGCTGATCTATCGTTGCAGTGTACATATATATTATCTAAATTACTAAATATAACCTATATAATTCAAAAGTACATACAATTTCTATAAATGTACAACAATTTAATAATGTAAGAAGTTTAAAAAGTTAGAAAATTTGCTTTAAATAAGGTATGGAAATCGTATCACAAATAAATGTTAAAAAGTCTGTACCTATCATGGACATTTTCATGCGTAACAACCGATGCGGTAACGTTGATGGGACGCTAATTAATATGTTGCATCCGAAATAAAAATAAAAATTAGTAATTGTAAAATAAAAATTAGCGCAGATAAATTTCGTAAAATATATCCGAAGTTAATGGTCCCCATTATTAACTTTGCAAAAATATTTCATTGAACTTCGCAAAACAGCAGAATAAAATGACGAAATTTCGGGTAACTGCCGTTGTGGCGTTTAAACGAGAGGTCATTGGCAATGAAAACACGTATTTTAGTTTGCACATACAAATTTAATATTAAATTTGATCTGTAATGGTATAAGAGTGACTTCCCACGGTTAGAGAGTTATCCGTATGGCTGGTAGATGCAATAGTATAGGAGCATCAAAATTATTAGTCTACTTATACCGTTTTGTTGTGTTCCGTTCGTGTGTGTAGGTACAATGTGTGTGTAAATAAATGTAATATAGTGCGTATAAATATAAAATAGTTAAGGTAAAATACATTTGGGCGTACATAAGGCATATGCTCATACATCATTTGACTTTTATTTTAAACTGACTATCAACCGAATCCAAAGTTAGTCCTTATTTTCAATTGTAAAATTAATTTTAACATTTTAACACCAAAAGTTTAAGTTTTTACATGGTAGAGTCATGCAGCAGCTGTTTTATGGATGTAGCATCGGCTCGACCGTGGTAGAACCACGCTCTCACAGTATACCAGCATAAAATAGCAGCTTAGGTAATGCTGCTGTTTCGTATGGTGAATATGCAGACCCTTTTTAACTGAAAACGGGGCAACCCATCTTAGTCCTCGCGGGTGACACGCAGCATTTTGATCCTTAATTGAGGATACTTGTAGATGCATAGACATCTACAAGTATCCTTCCATAGCATCCACTTAACAGCAGGTGGAATGTGTGCTTGTTTGTCACCCTTATTCTAAGAAAATGTATTGATAAATTAAGATAACGCCATATTATATTGGTAAAATTTACTTATAAGTACTTAGCTGTTTTAAAAAAGTGATTTTATATCCTTATCCTAACCTTGTATACTGTATATTGTGTTACATGTTAAAGTTGAAATATAAACACTAAAATTACCTGTAGCCTTTTTTATTTGAAAACGATTGCAAAGTGTCCATAAGCTACATTATAGTTACCATCAGGTGGTAAATTAGGTCGTATGTTATAAGGTCCTCCAAACCGAATTTCGGTCACGGCGGTCAGTCCCAATGGAGACTGTCCATCGGCGCAGGATAGGATTATAGTTCGCAAGTGTATGCGCAAGCACAGGTACACTGTTTCCATCACTCTCATAGTCCGATGGGACGGTAACCGACACTACCGCAGAGAGGTCAGGCGCAGAACCAACGGCTTTACGTGCTTTACGAGACACGGGGGTGAGACACCGCCAACTTCCTGACTCCGGGCAGCTACTGAGAATTTCTTGATGAAAAAGCTGATTGGCTGAACTGATTTTTATTGTCCCGATTCGAACCCGGGACCTCACGATCAGCAGTCGCACTACTACAACCACTAGGCCAACGAGGCAGTCGTTATGTTATTCTAATATTAAAATACAAAATGTCTTATCTGGCCCTTTGCTAACAATACAGTTCTGCCTTCAAATAAAAATAACTGGAGGGAATCGATTAACGCCGTGAAGATTTATATAAATTGAACTAGAGATGTATGCTTTTCCGACTAGTCACCCACTAGTAACCGACTATCCGGCCATATTTGTAGTTGGCGCCTAGTCGGCAACTTGTCGGCAAAAAGCAACGATTAGTCGGCCTATTATTTTATAAATATTATAATTGTTTTATAGATGATTGAAATAAAGTATAGTTATTAAAATGTGATTAAGAACTTTTATAGATAACCTAAGATTAGGAACTTTTCCTTCGGTAAATAATTGGCTTAATTAAAAGACATAATTATATTCAGCAAAAAATAAATTCTAAACGCGAGCAATAAGTATAATCTAGGCCCTAGATCATTTTTCGCACATTATTAACTACCGTAAAACGGGGTGAATAGGGATCGCGAGGTGAATAGGGACAAAATCGGGAATGAGATTGGGACGCGATTTTAACAAAATAAAAAACGTATGAATTGGTAGAAATTATTTTGTCGTGTAGTAGAATATATGATTTTTTTCGTGGCAACACCTATCCATAGGTAAGTTTGCAACAAATGGTCATAATTTTCATACGAAAACGAACGGTTGCAATTGTGTTTTTATATGCTCTCAAAACTTGGCTCATAATTTGAAAACTTGTGTTAACGTAGCAAAAGTGTTTCTAAATTGATATTCATTTATCCTTAGAGATCCACACAAGAAGGTAAGTCTTAATATAATGTAGTTTTTGCTAAATGTTGAAATATCTAAAATATTGTTATTTTGGTTTTGTTACGAGGTTAAAAGAAACAGCAGAAGGGCGAATAGGTACGCTCTGAGTCTTAATAGGAACTTCAGTACAAGTAAATAGGAATGTTTATGAGTTTACTTGAAACAGTAAAGTTTAAATAGGGACAGGGTTGTCGCTTTATAAATGTATACAATATTTGTACTAGCGATTCGGGTCGGCTTTGTTCGGATTTAATTGACTACAGAAAAAAGGCCTCATACAACCTATTATTCCGTATTTTACACATTTGGGGGACTCATTTTGAAAAATGTTTCAAGCTTCAGTAGTTCCAGCTCTGCGTTGATAAGTCAATCAGTCAGTAGTTCGCAATTTATAATATTAGTATAGATAGATTTAAATTGTTTAAAAATTAGTTACTTCAGTAGGTCAAATAATACCTATAGGTTCCATTTCACCTACTATAAGCAACTAATTTTCATTATATTTTGTTTCAGATAACTATGCCTCGCACATACAAAACACGGGCTAGACAATATAAAAAATACGATGAAGAGACGATAAATATTGCGCTTAGAGAATACAAAACATCAAATAGTTCGTTAGCAGATATTAGTGCAAAATATAATATTTCTAAATCTGTTTTACACAGACACAACACAAGATTCATGAAAAAGCAAGGTGGTCAGACGGTATTAACTGACGAGGAAGAGGCTTATATTATAGAAAATATAAATTATTGTTCTGAGTGGGGATATCCATTAGATACCTACGATTTGCGGATTTTGGTTAAAGGGTACTTAGATAGGATAGGTGTGAATGTAAAAAAGTTTAAAGATAATCTACCAGGTCCTGACTATGTAAAAAGTTTTCTAAAAAGAAACCAAGACAAAATTTCACTAAGAATAAGTCAGAACATTAAACGATCGCACGCGGCAGTTTCACTCGAAGTTATAGAAGAATATTTTACTCATCTTGAGAAATGTATAGCAGGAGTGCCTTTATCGAATATTATAAATTATGACGAAACGAACGAGAAAAGTTCTTACAAAAAGAGGTGCAAAATACCCAGAGAGGGTCATGAACCACAGCAAAGCCTCAACATCATTAATGATGGCAGCATCTGCGGATGGTGTACTTCTTCCTTGTTATGTGGTGTACAAAGCAAAACATTTGTACGAATCTTGGATCGAGCAGGGGCCAAAGGGGTGTCGATACAATTGTAGCTCGTCTGGATGGTTTGACAGTAACACTTTTGAGGATTGGGTTCGTACCATTGCATTATCATATTTTAATGGCAAGGACGGAATAAAGATTCTTATTGGCGATAATCTTTCATCCCATTTATCTCTGGATTTGATACGAGAATGCAAAGATAAAAACGTGCATTTCATTTTCCTCCCTCCAAATTCAACACACTTGACGCAGCCTCTAGATGTTGCATTCTTTAGACCCACCAAAAGAGCCTGGAGAGATATTTTATTTTTGTGGAAAAAAACTGAGGGCCGAACTTTGCCGACCATTCCCAAAAGTGTTTTTCCCAGTCTACTGAAAAAATTAATCAGTCGCATAGAAGATCAAGCTATGTCTAATATATTAGCAGGGTTTATGAAAACTGGCATAAGTTCATTAAATAAAAAAAAAGTTCTCGAAAGATTACCAGGAAACATTGTTCGTGATGAGGAAAACTTCAGTAAAGATGCAATTGATGACACAGTTATTTCCATGTTAAAAGAAATGCGATATGGTAATAATAATAACAAATTGTCTAATACAAGAAAAAAATTGAAGTAAAGCCTGGTCAAAGTGTTTCCACCGAGACTGAACCAAAAGAGTCTGACAAAGAGATTGATCAAGAACCAAATAGATATATTAGTGAGTTTGATTTAGAGGAAAGCGAAGAACCACCACAAAGCATTATAGCCGACCTTAACGTTACTAGTTCCAACAAAAAAAATGAAGTCCTTATGCAATCTAAAATTGCAAAACAGATCCCAGAAGAAAGGAAAAGGAAATTTGAAGCAAAATATGCAATAAAGAAAAATAGTTTGAGCACAGCACCGGAAGAAGATCTAGAGCTATTAATTAACAAAATAGAAGTAAAAAAGCGAAAAACAGTCCCTCAAAATTCTAAACAATGGATAAGTAAACAACAAGGGAAAACTATTGAATTAAGCAAAAATATAAACAAATATGAAAATACGAAAGACGTGTTTAAGAAACCATATGAAATTAAGAAATACAAAGAAATGAACAAAAAAGGAAAAAAAACACAAAAAAAAATCATAAAAAGAGCTTGCTAACAATTTTCAATTTAGTTGGCAGAAACAAACGAACTTGACATTGAGAACATGCCTTTATTTTTCGAAGATAATTTCTGCTTTCAAAACGAA